TGGGCGTGTCCCTTATAATTATACTAGTGCAATTGTTTGGATTTCATTCATATATTTCTTTCGATTTCGATATTTTGAAAAGATTTAATTTTTTATTTCGAATTTTTGAACTAGTTTCAATTTCAATTCTCGATGATTATTTATATCGCAACAGTTCCGATCTCTACCCATGTTTGTACAAAGGCTATTTTATGTCAGATAATTAATCTCAACGGGTTATAAGTGTTAAATAACTTTATGAATGAGGTCTGGGCAACTGGGCAAATTTTTCGAGAAATGGCTTTGCACAAAAATACTTTTCGTCTAAAAACGATAAAGTTCAAAAGCAATTAAATACCTGATCATTATTTCCTTTATTTGCTGAAGTTTCTTCTTCAATTTTAGCCATTCTTTGTGAAATCTCACTAATAGTCTTTTTAAAAGTAATAAAATCCGTTTGCGACACCTTAAAATAAATGTAAATTTTATTGAAAAACTAAACTAATAATGTATGTATGTAGTATTAGGTTCGCATAAAAATTGAGGTGGAAAGTTAGGTGATCCTGGGAAATCTCAGGATATCAGTATCCGCCAAGACCTATTATAATTCCTAGCACTTTAGGTCCCGGTTCCTAAAGCATATACATAATTGCATATAACTGCACAAAAATATAATTGCACATAAATTTTTGACATAAATTTTAAATCCATAAAATCTTTTATAAACACTCTTGAAATGCAAAATTATAGGGTAAATTAGTGATTTTTAATTAAAGGTACTTTATGGATATGTCACCCCCCTCCTATTTTGAGTCTCAGAGTTTTCCTTATGCGTAGAAAATGGTCAGAGATTATTTTCTTCTCCATGTCAATCATTTTCTTCTTTTTCAAGTATTTTGCTTGTTTATTAAGCCTTTTCACGTATTTTTGAAATTTGTCCTTACATTTCACTCATTTCGTTTCCACATTTCACTTATTTTTCTTGAAGTAAAAAATGAATGACACGGAAAAGAAAATAATCTCTGACCATTTTCTACGCATAAGGAAAACTCTGAGACTCAAAATAGAAGGGGGTGACATATCCATAAAGTACCTAATTAAAATTTTGGTTTTAAAGCAATTTTTTACCATTTTTTGATGAATATTTAGTGTATATTTTGGGAAATTTTGCATATGTTCAATGCATATTTGGGACTTTTTCGGTGCATATATATGCGCATATTTTGCGATTTTTCGTGCATATTTTGTGAGTCCTTAATTATAATATCAAAAATTACCATCTCATTGTCTTTATTTCCATTATTCTGTGAGTTAATAACAACAATCAAAACAATACATAACAATAAAATAACAAATAAGCTTATAATTACAGCAATTTGTCCCAAAACTATATTCATTTGTTTAGATTTTTGAATTAACTAAAAATAATTTTTCAAAATTTATATTATTAGAATGTATTTTTCAATATAATTTACATAAATATTAACTAATTTTAAAATTCTGTTCAAACTTTAAACATTTTTAATTTACCTTTACTTCAGGTAAAGCATTATTTTCATTAATAGTTTTATCAGAATCATCTTCAATTTTATTCGAAGTTTCGCAAAAAATATTATCGAAATTCATTTTAATTTAAAAAATCTGAAAAAAATAGCAAATTAAAAATTATAAATTCTACTGCATAAATAGTATGGAATAGTATTTAATAAATATTTTTATCGTTGACCTAGACATTATTGAGGGAGGTTTTTACGTTTTATTTAAAAAATGTAAACTTTGTAATGAGGCAAAAATATTAAAATAAAGAACTATGCAACGCACAATTTTTCTTTAAAACATTTTAAAGGTTAGGGTAAAGTAATTTGAAAAGGGAAATTATTTGAAATTTTAAAAATCAGAATATTTTTAAAATTGAAAATTCAGATTTTATTTCCGGAACGTGTTATGGACTTTCCGTGATTTGATCGTTTCAAGTTTTGGTAGGACCGTGTTTTGCCTATCCAGATACACGATATAAGAAAACGAATAAGCTTGCAAGAAAGCGAATAAAACTTTGCAATAGGATAACGGGGGTCATTTATCAAATGGTACCATTTAAAACCATCTAAATTTTAACGTTTATATGTTTATCGTTTCGTAAAAATTTTTGAAAATTAAACTTTTATATCAAAGTTATCGTTATATTTCTCATTTAAAAAATATTCTTTAATTATTTCACTTCTATTATTTTAATGCTTGGATTGAAACAACTGGAGTAGTAGTTATTCTCGAAAACAAAAATTTTTTGATGGAATTGTGGTAGTCCTTGCTAAATAAATTTTATTAATTTTCAACTAAATTTTTTAATAAAAAAAAATTTTATAGCTTCAATATGTGCATTTATAACAGGCCTGGATAATTTTTATGTTTAAAAAGCAAAAGGGTCAAAAAAGGCGGAATTCTGAGGAGTGTGTTGCAAATCCAACCTTGCTTTATATACAGACCTCAAAAAATCTATCAATAGTATTAAAAAATGAAGGTTCCTCTCTCGGTACACTTCACTAGGTGTGGAAATGCCTTTGGATCAAAATATAAACACACGAGGAATAGATCTACTCAGCTTATGCTAGATTGAGATATAACAGAGTAGCGGTCCTATAACTCGGTCCTATCAAATCAGATTTGGTTGATTGCGGTGTCTTTCGACTCATTTGTCAGTTCGAAGAGTTCTTTCGAATGTGCTATAATGTGTATTATCGAATTTTCGGCCCCTGAGATCAGCTTACTTCCCTGTTTTTTTAATTTTCTGGGTCTGTATCTCTGTGAATTTTTGTTTCCTAGAAAAAATGATTATACATTCGAACTCAACTCGAAGAGATAAATTGTTTGGTGTAAATTTCGAATCTAGAGCTAGGATTGAAATAAGATTTGGGGCAAAATGACCTCAAACAGGCTATATGATCGTAGAACTCTCCATCGTTCTAGTATTAATGAAATAGGTAAAAAATATCAAAAAGCTGTTATTTTTTCCAACCTGCAATTATAAAGAACGAAAGTATTGGCACATCCAACAAAAGTCAAAATTAAATCAAAGCAATTTATGATTATAAAACCTGCAGGGTAAGGACCTGGAAAAAATATTGGAACTAATTGACGACTGATAGAAGTACATATCCATCCAAAAATTATCATTAATAAAATAATCATTATAGATTTGTTTACTCCTTCAAGTTTTTTGACGTTATTTTGAGTAGTTGGAGCCTTTTTTCGAAAATAAAGTCGAATAAATATCAAAATATAACAAAACACTGCAGCAGCTGTTAATGTAAGACAAATACGTAAAAGTATATCTCCATAAACACCATTCCAAAAATCAGCAATGGAACAACGCAGCATTCTAAATTAATATTTTTAGCACATTCAAACGAATAATAGTATATGTATTTAAAATCAACCAGAAATCAAAATAAAAAGGAAAATATTAGTAAAGTTAATTTTTCGGTAAACTGCCTAAGAAGGTACTTGCCACTCTGGGTACTATCTTTTTTCATTTATTTTGCAAATATTTGAATTTTTCTGAGAATATAGAGCACGAGTCCTAGTTCATTTTAAGCCATAATATTAGTTGATTCTCCGTCCAGAATAGCTTCCATCTCGCTTTTTCTCATCAAAACCCATGGATTGGAGTATACTCGCAATTTAACCCGGTTCACGACCTCGGGCGTGCCTGCTGATTAAGTTCTGTCAGTTATTTTAAAGAGATCAGCCATCAAAAAACAATTTGGTACTTTCCCTCAAAATTAACTTAACAAAGTTTAAAGGAAATATTTTTCTATATTAGTAACGGGAACTACCTAGATCGGGATTCCCAGAGGGAACTAGGAGTTCGCCGCTAAAAGATAGTCGAAAGTGTGTTGAGGCTGATGAGCGTCTTAATCCCAAAGATTAAGACGCGGCAAACCAAAAAAGGATGTTAGGCGATTAGGCGAGGGTTTTGATGGATGGCCAAGTTTAGACGATGGACGAACAATTGAATATTCCCAAAGAATATTCACAGAATATTACCAAAGAATAATAAAAGACAAGAATATTAAAAAATATTTATTTAATTAAAGAAAATTTATAATTGTATGTGTGGTTATTAAAAGGCTGTTGGGAATGATTAAATGAATGTATCTAAGAATGTTATTATGAATGTAAGAATGTTGGTGTAAGTGGAAAAAATTGGCTTAAATAGGCCAGAATTAATGTGTGGTAAAGAATGTGGGGGAATGGCAAAAATGGAAAACATAAAAAATTATATGTTTTTAATAATGTTGGCGGAAATGCACTTTCTCCCTTTTTTCCCTTTTGGATAGAAATTATTAATAATTTTAGATTGGAATTTAAGATAAAATGGATAAATTTATCCATTTTATGGAAAAAAGAGAGAAAGAGCAAAGTAGGCGATAACGATCACTAAAAAGTGATGTCATACAAATAAAAAGGGAAATTAATAATTTTATTAATTTTCATCCTTCGACGAAAATTTAAAGAAATTTTCGACATTGCCGCGGGCAGGCACTTCATTGGGTCCTTAGTTGTTGAGGGTTATGTTGATTAGCCGATTTAAAGTTTTAGTCGATATTCCATTTGACGATTTGCTTTTTAAGTTTTGTTGTTAAGTTGGTTTGAAGATTTGCTTATTGTTTGAAGATGTTGAATTCTAAATTTATGATGTTTCACCACGTTCTTTTTATTTTTAAATTATTTAAGTTGGTTGGCTTCGCCAATAAATTTAATTTATAAAGATGAATTTTTGTTGTGAAGTTTAGAGTTGTTGAGTTTTAGACGTTAAATTTTAGACGTTAAGGTTTAGGCGTTTAGACGATATGTGTTGAACATTGGACGAGGACCCATTGATGACATTTGAGTTGATGATGCATCCATTCCAAACATTTGAAAAAATTACAAAGAAAAAGATTAAGGTGTTGAGGGAAAATACAAATATATGAAAAGAAAAAAGGGGGGAGAAAGAGAAAGATAAAAATTTAAAAATTTCTTTACTGCTTTCCTCCATTCCAACTCCATGAGGTTGAAGGTTGCTCAGAAGGTGCCAGTTGTTGAACAAGTTTAATGACGTCGTTGATTTCGTCTCTTGTCTTGTCAAGTTTGGTGATGATTTGTTGACGCGTTGCTTCGGTGATTACATGAATTTGACGAGGTTGTTGCTCTTCTTGACGATTTTCGTTAGGTTTTGACGTTGACGTGGGCATTACAATTTCCAAGTTTTGAAGGGGGAAGTAACTTTTGTGGTCATATCCCATTTGCCAAGGGATGAATCCTCGACGTTGACGTTGGCGAGATTGACGCGATGTTCCACGGATGCCACCAAATTGTCGAAGTACAGGGAGGTGTGGTTCCCTAATCGGTAGTCCTTTCATTTGCCAATGTTGTGCTACTGTTTCGCCGGGTTGAACAAGTAGCTTCTGTGCTGGCTTGTAGGTGATGCAGTCCCAGTCTGTGATGTTGTTGCCGTTGGTGTGGTCGCGTATCATTATTCCTCTGAGTTGCCGGTTGATTTTGTCGATAGTCGCAACGGTTTTCCACCAATTGTTCCCAAATCGGCTTGCCAAATATTCATCTAGACGTTCAGTGACTTCTTGGCGTTGACGGGTTCCGGTTCGACGAGAATGTAAACGTGTTGGAGATATTTGACGATTAGACGGCGGTAGGTTTGATGCATGACGATTGCGAGGTGGGGAAGGGGTTCGTGGGAATTGCGGTTCCATTTGACGACTGTTGCGAGGTGTTCCAAAACCTCCGTTGTTGAATGGCGATAATGGACGAGAAGACATTTTGAATTCGGTGTAGACGAGCAGAGTGGAGTTGTTGAATGAATGAATTATTGTCGATTGAAATTGTATATTTATAATACTAGGCGTGTTGAAAATAAATTTATTTTCCCATGCTGATTGAGCGTGTTGATAGTTGATTGGAATTTTATTAGTCCCTTTTGCTGTGATAAGTCTGATGTCATTTTGCCGCTCAGCTAGATTGAATGTGTGTGGTCCAGTTAGTCGCTGTAAATTGTTTTCCTTTTTCTGAAGGGAACATCCGGCCGGCCACACAGGAAGTGCAATAATTATGATTGGAATGTAAAATGTTGAATTGAAGGGTAATATAGGCGCGAATCTTTTTTGGCGTTTATGTCGTTGAAATGGTCGAAAGGGTTTTGGCGTATGTAGATAGACGGTTCGAATCATCAGGCATATTATACTAGTCGAAATAACGGCAATTCCAAAGAGATTCCATCCAAATGTATATTTCGACGATATAGGCGCAGACGAAATTTCGGGTTTGTCGATTGTTGTTCTATTGACAGCTTGAACTTGTGCCAGAATTGCCATGATGGTAATTGTTCTAGCCATTTGTCGATAAATTCGGAATATCGGTGATAGACGCATGAAAAGGTATACGGCGAGTAAAGCAAGTCCAATTGACGTTATGATGCCCAGGAATATTGGTCCTCCTTGAAGAAGTTTGCCGAGTATCCACAAGTCGAATCCAAGATCGGGCCAAAAACTGAATGTTTCTGGGTCCAAAATAAGTTGTTTTGATCGATGTTGTTGATGTCCCCATTGTCGTCGAAGAGGGATGTAATAAAGGCTGCCATTGAGGTTGAAGTTGGTCTCTCCAGCCGGACAGTCGACGGTACAAATAGTGTTAACATCTGGATAGTCGATTGGTATTACTTCTTTGCCGAGGGTTCCATTTGTCGAGCAGTGGGCGACGAATAAAATTCCATCTTCACATTTGACGGTGGCTAAGACGTTGGCGTTGTCTGATCTGCATTTGTACGTTATTTGTGCTCCGGCTCCACATCTGTAACATCCATGTAGTTGAACTTCATCCATGAAACATTTTGAATCACGAAGTTGAAGATGGAGTGCAAGGCTTTTCATTTGAAGATGTATTTGAATAGGCGCATAGACGTATGTTGCTGAAATTGATGGTCCATTGTTTTCCAGCCATACTTTTGCTCTGGTGATCGGTAGTCGTGTTTCTGGGTTCTCCATCATTACATCGAGGTCCACATCTCGGCAGTTACATTCCACTGTTCCATCGTTGTGGTTCGGGAAACATTCTTTGCAGGCTTCTTTGTCGAGTGAACAGTTTAACGATCGAGCTGCTTCTTCTGTCGCACAGTGTAGATCAACTGGTAGTCGACTGACGATTGAGACGGTTTGTCCATTAGTGACGAATGTTGATCCAAGTACCGGCATAGGCGGAAGAGAGATTGCCAAGGGTGTGATGGTGATATTCCCCCATGATGATGTGATGCCAGGGTGTAAGATGACAGATTTTGATAGTCGCTTGCCACCATTGGTTTCTAACGTGAGTTCGACGTCCATTTGTGGGCTCCAACTTGGGCAGGTGAAGACTTCGAAGACGTTTGAACTGGTTGGTCGAGCAAAATATCGGTAGTATAGACAAGCTGATGTTGGCAGTCCACAATTGTTGCCCCAGAAACTTGTCGATGGAATGCAGAAAGTGTTGCCAGGTAGTTCTCTTCCAACTTGTAGTTCTTTGACGTAACTATTTGGTCGCACATTTTCACAATGGTCGTTGAAACATGAGCCCGCTCGAGGGCATCTTTTGACGGCTGTTGGTTCGACGCGATACAAACGTAACCAGGCGATTGATTGTTGATGGCAGGCCATTTTCAAAGATGTTAGACGCATTGACATTGTGCCAAGAGTTAGTCCATGTTCGTCGCGAAGAAGCAACGTGTTGACTTGGCCGGCAGGTAATAACGTAAGTGTGTTGGCGCTATTGACGGTGCAAGTTAAGCCAGTTGTTCCTCTCAAGCAAGTTTCAGTTTGCGTTGTGATTGAGATAACTGCAATAGTCGGGATAATAATTGACGTGATGATTGTCGAAATTAGTATGATGTTTGACACTCTTCGTCTGAATTGATGGCTTTGGTGATGAATATTTCTGAGTCTTGTGTACATCTTCTTTTCGGCGTAATTGATTTGTCGTTTCCAACTGTCGCTGTTCTTATAGTAGATTTTGTTGAACATCCAACGGAAGGGAAACGTTAAAGCTTTTATTATTGTCGTTGAGCCGTTGACGAATAGACTGACGATAACGCGGATAGAACTGAAAATGGTGATGAAACATCCAACCAAACTGCTGAAGGCGAAAATTCCTAACAGGAATAAGAATGTTGCCCATTTTGGGTTGCAAGTTGGATTGGCTAGTTGTTCAAAGCAAAAGTAGCAGTCGAATAGGTTGCATTCATTCACAGCCGGGCAATTGATCTTCTTTGTTATGCTGTTGTGTGAGTTCTGCCAGAACCAGGCTTCGCATTCATAGTCGTTAATAAGGATCTCGGTGGCTAGTTCATAAGTGTATTCTTTCATGTCGGTATGGTCGATACAATTCTTCATACAACAAACTGCTGTCTTTTGAACTTCAGGTGGCGCTTTGACGATTACTCCTTTAGTCGAACATTGGAGTTGGCAATTGTCGCACTTGAACTCGTAGAGAGCGAGTGCTGAAGCAATGGTCGATAAGCTGAGAAGGCAAGAATAGTCGTATTGGCCGCATCGGTACCAAGGTGTTGTGGTTCCAAATGCTAGGATGTTGGCGAGTAAGACGATAAAAGCCACCAGTGATGTTGTATTGACGATTGATTTGCGTGGTCTGAGAGTCATTTGATGTTGACGGATTGGTTTTGATTGTTCTTTAGGCGTTTCATGTTGATTTACTGAGGTGTTTGTCGCTATATGATCGTCGATTTCAGTTTCCAATGGACATAGTCGGCTGACTGGTCGAGTGATAATCTTCCCATCTCCAGTTAACAGATTGACGCTGCGAATTTCATTAGCCGAGCCATTAAGTTCGACGATTTTTGCCAAAGGCCATAGATTGCGTGGTCGAAGATCCATCTCGACGAGTACAATTTGACCAATCTTTGGTGGTGATGTTGTTTGAGAACGTGGTCCCTTGTGTGTCCAACCAGCACGTTCTCTGATGGCCAAGATGTATTCGTTGCTCCATCGGGACCAAAAGACGTCTGATGCTTCTCTGTATGCTGTCCAGAGTGCTGCCAGTTTCTCAGGTCCAGTTAATTTTTCGTCGTCGTAGTCGAGTTCGCAATCTGTTGGTCCAAGGTCGTTGGGTCCACTGTTTTGGATGAGGTCTTTAGGCGTTAAAGGTAATGGTGCTCCAGGTTGGTCTGACACCCAAGTGATTGGTCGACTATTGACACTTGCTTCCACTTCGGCCAAGAATGCACCTAAGTCGTCGTAGTCGAGAATTCTTTTGCCGATGGTGCGTTGAATTGCTCTTTTGACGAGTCCAATTAGTCGTTCATATGTTGCTCCCATCCACGGTGCATAAGAAGGTATGAAGTCCCATCGAATGCCATTCTTAGTCGTGTAGTCCCAAGGCGGATTTTCAGGAGGCGGTCCAGTAAGCAGGTCCAAAGCTCTGTGTACTTGAATGAAAGTTGGCGCATTGTCGCTCAATATTCGACGTGGTTTGCCTCGTCGACTGATGAATCGGCGTAAGACGTTGACGACGGAGATTGATGACATATCCCAATCGACGCCAGCATGTTTGAGGTCCACATGTATTTCTTCTACCAATAGTCGAGTTAATGGCGAATGTCGATCAAGGAGGATTGGCAGTGCCATTGTTTCGGGGCCATTGCAGAAGTTGACGCGGGTTTTCAAACATAAAAGTCCATCGCTGTTAATTGCCGTGGGGTGTGTTGTATAGCTTTCCAATAGACGTTTCTGTTCTTGTCGTATGATGAAGATTCGTGCTGCTTGGTAATCGTCGACAGTCATAGGTCCCTGGCGTGAGACTTTAGAAGTTCCAATGTTGAGAACATTCGGTCGATGTCGTCCCATGAAGCGGATAATCCAGATCACCACTCGAAGAAGAGTGAAGATGGAGCTAAACCTTCCAGGGTCTATTGTCGGCGGCTCTGGTTCTTTAGTCGAGAATGTTATTGTGTCGGATTTGTCGGTGGTGACATTGTCGTCTGTTTGCTTGCCGATGTTGAACGATAATTCGTCGGGCCAGTCGTCGGATGGTTGAACAATCCATTCTGGGCCATTCCACCAAAGAGTCGACTGTTGTAGTTCCATTGGTGTTGAACCACGTGTCGCGATGTCGGCGGAATTTTGTTCGGTTCTGACGAAATGAAAAGTTCCTTTGGCGCCATCTCGAATTTCTGTTAGTCGTCGTTGCTCAAATTGAGGTTTTGGGTCGACGGATTGAATCCAAGCCAGAACAATGCGTGAGTCCAACCAGAAATGGACGCCACTGATTGGTCGATGTAGTTCCTTTTTGACGTGTATTTTCGCTCGGACGGCTATTAGGGCGCCAAGTAGTTCCATTCTTGGGATGGTGAGGCTTGACTTGGCTTTCTTTGGGCGCAGACGATTTCTTGCAAAAATGAGTGTTGATTTGACGTTTGGACCATTTGACGTTCTCAAATAGACGCAGGCGGCATAGGCATTTTCAGATGCATCACTGAACACATGTAGTTGCCACTCAGTCGGGTTGTCAATAATTGCTTGACGTGGAAGAGTGATGGTTTGGTCGTTCCATGATTGCTTGATGTTATGCCATTCTGTCGTTTCTTCTGAATTTATTGGCGTATCCCATGTTCTTTCGTTGTCCCATAATCGTTGGAAGAAAAGTTTGACGTGAAGCAAGCATGGGTTGATAAGTCCCAACGGGTCGTATATGCTGGCCAATGCACTGAGTACAGTTCGACGAGTGACGATGTTGACGTCCTCTTTTGGAAATTTGTGTGTGATTGAGTCGTTGTCTGTGTCCCATTTAATGCCCAAGACTTGAGCTTTTGCTTTGTCGAGTCGGTCTTCTTCTGGTATTTGTTCCATGATTGTTTGTCGGTGGCTGAGGAATTCTCGAAGATTCATTGCCGCTTTCTTAAATATTTCTTTGGCGGTCTTCATTTTGTCTAGGGCCTCTTCTTCTGTTGAACATTGAAAGAGAATGTTGTCGACGTACGTATTCTTTGCCATTTCCTTCGATAATTTGTTGTCGAATTTGGAGTAGTGGTGTAATAACACTGCTGCTAATACGAAAGGTGATGAGATCACACCAAATACCATTTTTGTGTAGCGTTTGACGACCAAGTTGTCCGTGGTGATTGGCTTGTTGACGTCGCGCAGCCAAAGAATTTTGCAAAATTGTCGATCTTCCGGAAGCATTTCGATTGTGTGAAAGGCCGCTTGCACATCCGATAGAATTGGAATAAGGCATGTTCTCCAACGTATAAGCATTCCGACGAGTGTTGGTAGTAGAACAGGTCCTCGGTACAGAGCTTGATTTAGGCTTGCTGCTCCATTGGGATGAGCACTTGCATCTAATACGATTCTCAGCTTCTTTGGATTGATGACGGCGTGGTGAGGCATAAAGAATTCTTCTTTGTCGCGGCCGGTCTCTTCTATTATTCCTTTCTCTTCTTGGTCGCGCAGGTTTTTGTCGTATTTGGCGAGAAGTTCGGGCGATTGAATTAGGCGTTTGATGTTAGCTTGAAGGCGGCTATAGGCCATTGTCCAATTTGAGTTGATGGTTGGTCGAGGTTCCCTCCAAGGTAGACGAACTGTGTAAGTGCCATTGGGTTTTTGACGTATTGATTGTTCAAATAGTCGCATGGCGGTGTCGTCGTCTTTCTCAGCCGGGTTCTCCTTTATTCCAATAGACTCGAGTGCCTAGAAATTCTCGACGTCATTTGGTTTAGGAATATCTTTGTCGTCGTCGGTGAGTGCCATGAATGTTTTAGGCGAGTTAGTCGTGTTGAAGCATGATTCACCTCCTAAGACGTCTCCAAAGACGGTTTGAATTTTGTAGAGCTTGGGGCCAAGTTGTTGAAAGCCGGTGACGAATTTCCAGAATTCACGAATGCCAATTAATATTGATGGTGTTCCTTTAACCGGTTCGACGCAGTCGTCTTGTCCAATGAATTGGAAGGTTTCCATTGAAGTAGAAATTTCGTCGATGGTGTTAAGCTGCATCGGCTCCCATTCGCCGTCTTGACGTTTTAGACGAATTGAGACGAGTGGTGAATGGACGGTCTTCGGATTTTGATTCGCAAAGGTGTGTATGCGAAGTACTTCTTCAGAAAGTTTTGGCGGCTGAAGGCGATTGACGAGTTCTTTGGCGATGTAGCTTGTTTGGCTTCCTGAGTCGAAGAAGACCATTGCTGGAATTCCTTCTCTTGGACCTCCCGGGCACGAGACGTTGATGATGATTGTCATTAAATGAGTTTTGTTGTCATTTTGTCGTGCTGTCAAGTAAGTTGACGAGTCAGGTGCTTCTTTTGCTTCTTCTTTGACTTCTTCAGGTTCATTTGCTACCTTCTGAATTTCATTGACTGGTGGTGTAGTCTCTTCTTTAACTTCTTTAACAGAGTCTGTTGCTTCTTGGAGTGAACTCATTGTCGTCGTAGCACGTTGATTGTTGAGTGCTGTCGCATTTCCACCAGTTACTTTTGGCATTGGTCGATCATTTCGGCGCGGAGGTGTTTGGCGTTGAGGCATCTTGGAAACTGTCTGTTGCACTGATCTTGCCGGTGGTGTTGGCGATTGAACAGAAGATTGCAGAGCTAGACGTGGTGCATATGAGACCGCTTGAGGAGTTGGATAGTCGATTTTTGCCTGCGGTGGTATGCAAATAAGGAAGTGGTGATCGACGCCTCCACACTGACGGCAAATAAAAGATCGCTGGCATTGCTCTGTCGTATGACTTTGCTGGAGGCACTTCAAACATCTGCTTTGTTCCAATAGACGAAGTTTGCGCTGTTGAGGTGTCGAATATGAGGGGCATCTGCTTGGTTTGTGTCCAACCATGGCGCACAAAGAACATGATTGTGGAAGTTGTTGTTCTCCACGGTTGACGTAATTGGCGTTGGCGTTATTGGCGCTGGTGTTATTGGCGTTGGCGAATACCGGAAATGCTCTGGTATTTTCCATTTGGCGTGGCAATTGTCGAACCTCTTGACGCACTTGTTGCTGATTACTTCTTTGCACTTCTTGTCGACGTGGTGGTTCGTCGTGAAATGAATTCATGCATTCGTCGGTGGCTTGGCGAATGTTGACGATGTTTTCCAGAGCTCGTCGCAATTCTTTGTGTGTCCACTTCTTAGGCGAGTCAAGTTCCTTTGCGATGAGTTCTTGGAGAATGCCATGTGGAAGTTTGGACTTGATGATGTTGCATAGGAACATAGGCGATTGGTTGTCCAAATATTCCAATTGAAGACAAATTCTTTCAATATCCTTCTGGAATTGCGTGAGTTCGCGAAGGTTGTTCCTGATCGGCGGAAGTTTGAGAAGTTGTGCCTGAAGTTGGTTGCTAAGTTGGTCGTCGTTACCATACTTCTTTTTTAGAATTTCCTTGACGATTTTGTAATTGTCATCGGATGGTGGATAACCACTAATTGCTTCTCTGGCTGCTGATCCTTCTTTGAGGTATTGCAGAAGCAGGAGATGCTTCTGAAAAGACGGATACTGTTGCTTGTCGACTGCATGTTCAAAAGCTGCCCAAAAGGTGCGCCAATCACGTATGTCGCCACCAAATGATGGGAGACGGACGCTGTCGACCTTCAAAGCATTGCACAATGGAAGGCCATATTGTGGTTGCTGGAATGAGTTGGTATGCTGATAGTCGTAAGTTTGACGTGATGTCTCATGCTGATTTCCAATACTCGGTTCTTCAAAGTCTGGCGCGCTGGGCTGACGCATTCGTCGATTTTGCCTCCAATCATTTTCTTCTTCGTCGTCAGAAAGAAATTGACGTCTTTCTTGGCGCAACGGAGTTTGATTGTCAACCATGTTCGCTGATGTTGATCCTTGTACACTAGGCGCTCTTGGTGAATTATTGCTGTTGCTTTCTGTCGTCATCTGCCGAATAACTCTGTACGCTTTGATCCGGTTGATCACTTCATTTGCTCTGTCTACCAATTTTGAGACTGGCCATTGTTCTGCATTTTCAAGATTCTGGTCGGATATTTTGTCGTATGTTAAGAAATTGGCGAGGTAGTCTGCATGTTCGTTTTGCTGTTGTTCGTCGAGGCCATCCATAAAATGATTGTATTTGCTAATGATGGTTTGAAGTTGGTTGGTTCGTTCTGTAAGATGGACGAGTTCCATTTCTACTGATGCTGCCAGTTCATCTTCTTTCTCAATTGACGGTTTAGATTTAAGTTGGACGATGCAAGATTCGGCGATTTTGAGGTGTTCGACGAGTGCTCTTGTCGTTCCATAAAGTTCTTGACGGATAATTCGTGCCATTGATGTTGGTTAGTCGGGGCTTGCCAAATAAAATTAATGGTGTACAGTTAGACGGCTGGTGGTCGCTGTACTTGCTCAACTAATAGTCGTTTGTTCTGCTGGGAATGTGGGTCTTTGTCGACGGCTGATCCTTTTGGCGCAGACGAAAATTAGTCGAAATTTGTGCCGACTGCAAAGGTCGGATTGATGTTTGAATGTTGTGTTGACTGATGAATGTCGACGGCTGTCCCGGGTCGTGGCACCAATTTTAACGGGAACTACCTAGATCGGGATTCCCAGAGGGAACTAGGAGTTCGCCGCTAAAAGATAGTCGAAAGTGTGTTGAGGCTGATGAGCGTCTTAATCCCAAAGATTAAGACGCGGCAAACCAAAAAAGGATGTTAGGCGATTAGGCGAGGGTTTTGATGGATGGCCAAGTTTAGACGATGGACGAACAATTGAATATTCCCAAAGAATATTCACAGAATATTACCAAAGAATAATAAAAGACAAGAATATTAAAAAATATTTATTTAATTAAAGAAAATTTATAATTGTATGTGTGGTTATTAAAAGGCTGTTGGGAATGATTAAATGAATGTATCTAAGAATGTTATTATGAATGTAAGAATGTTGGTGTAAGTGGAAAAAATTGGCTTAAATAGGCCAGAATTAATGTGTGGTAAAGAATGTGGGGGAATGGCAAAAATGGAAAACATAAAAAATTATATGTTTTTAATAATGTTGGCGGAAATGCACTTTCTCCCTTTTTTCCCTTTTGGATAGAAATTATTAATAATTTTAGATTGGAATTTAAGATAAAATGGATAAATTTATCCATTTTATGGAAAAAAGAGAGAAAGAGCAAAGTAGGCGATAACGATCACTAAAAAGTGATGTCATACAAATAAAAAGGGAAATTAATAATTTTATTAATTTTCATCCTTCGACGAAAATTTAAAGAAATTTTCGACAATTAGTTAAAGATTTCAAACGTCGAGTTATTATTTGATGAAAATATAACAGCAAAATATGAAAGCAAAATGCCAACAGCCACTGCAATTGTACACAACAAAGATAAATAACTTTTAATAGCCAGATTTCGATGCCTTAATTTTAATTGTTTTAGTTAATTTTAACAAACTAATTTTAAAGAATTTGTCTTTTGGAAATAAATAACCTTTCAAATTAAGTATAATTCAAACCTGTTTTCGAAACTATAAAGCATATAGCTATTAATTTCCTAAGGCTGAGCAGTAGGCGGCGTGGTGTAATGGCTAACACATCAGTCCGGTCTACTGAAGATGCTGGTTCGCTCCCAGCCGCCGAATAACCTTTTGACTAGCTAAAGGAGAGAAATAGCTATAGCCCGCTGCTTTACTAAACTATAATATAAAATCCGTGTCCGGACAATGCGTCGGTGGACGGACATACGGTCAATGGAATATATAGGGGGATTATGGGACATACAGTCGCCACATCGATGGATTTGTGGGGATTAAGAGGATTTTAATAGGGGGTTTTATTGTTACTATTAATAAAATGATTGAAATAAAAATACCAAATAGGGAAAAACACAGCAAGTAAACGATCAAACCCAATAAAAAATACAAAAACAAAGGACATATGAAAAGCAGTAAGCGGAGCAATATTAAACCAAAAACATCCATTTCTTGTTAATTTAAATTTTCCATAAATTGCATAAACAAATGCAGCAATTATGCCTGTGGAAGCAACAATCAAATCACAAAATGCGTTTATTCCAAGTAAATAAAAACAGCTCGAATTAAGCGTTCTTAATGTTTAAATAATGTGTAATTTTGAAATAAAATTAAAAATACTTTTTAAATTTAACAGTAATTACAACAAGAAATCCATTAGACAATACAGAGAGAATGCCCAGAACTAACAGCGCAAGTATATCTATCAAAGTAAAAATGTCTTGATATTCATCACATTGACAGTTTGGAGATTGCTAAAATTCGTTTTCAATTTTTCATTTAAAAGCTTACAGGATCTCTTGGTCCATTTGCATTGATTTGTATCATTTTGTTTTTTAATTTTGGAGTTTCTACTTTTAATATTTAAAATTTACTGAATTTTTTAAATTAGGCGCCCGTTTAGATTCAGTGATCCTTTAGTATAGTATCACTTTCCTAAAATTTACAAGAATTCCAGCAACTAGACTTATGTATTTTTGTTCCAATAAGTCTAGTTTAAATTAGAGTTCAGCGGTATCGGGATTTAGAGAAAAACCCGGGATCGGGATTTAGGAATAGTCATCCCGATCCCGATCCCGGATCCCGACACGGGATCCGGGATTAGCCGAAATCGGGATCGGGATTTGGACTGGAGATCCCGATCCCGGTCCCGATCCCGAATCGGGACCGGGATTGAAAAATCGGGATCGGGATTTACTAAAAAATTTTTTAAAAATTTTTATTTTCTTCACATACGACTCAGTATAATTCTAAAATTGCCGCTGCGGTGCTGAAATATAGAGTTTAAGTCTCATAAACACATAATTTACTTTCCGGTTGGGGATTATGGGGAGATAAGGGGATTAAGGGAGATAATTTAGGGGATTAGAGGAGATAAGGTAATGGGGGGGGGGGGGATAAATGGGATTGGGCTTCTATTTTAAGCGCCGTAGGCTAAAATTTTGAAAAATTTGGAAGGCCAAGGTGCCAGATTTCCTCCCTTTTAAGCGTCGCAGGCAACATTTTTTAATTTTGGAAGGCCAAGGGCATTCAAGTCTAATCCAAGTCTAACGATTAAGTGCGTTACGCTAAAACGTGGACGATTAAGAACTGACATTAAGGTATTAAGTGATATATTCATTTAGCAATATCTCTTAAGCCCTCGATTTCTCTTCAAATCTAACTCAATCCCTGTAAATCCACCGATACTCCTCTCAATTCCTCTTGATCCCTCGATATCACACCAAATCACTCAATATTTCATTAAAGTTGTAAAGACAGCTTTGTATATTTTTGCGGCGCCACAGACGAAAATTTTGAGATTTTGGATGTCAACATGCCAAATTTTTTCCATTTTCTGCGCCGCAGGCGAAAATTTTTCTTAGTTTTCATGCCTCCCCTCTTTTGTTAACTTTATTTCACAGACTTCTAGTCAATTTATAAAGTCGGGATTTGCATCGGGATCTGATGCACATCCCGATCCCGATCCCGGATCCCGGCTCGGGATTGAGAATGACCGGGATCGGGATCGGGATATTTATTTCGGGACCGGGATCAGAAAAATCGGGATCGGGATTCGAAAAACCCGGGATAATCCCGCCCGATCCCGACCGGGATCCCGATCCCGCTGAACTCTAGTTTAAATGAAGAGTTTAACTTTTCAATTTTGATTTTTAACTTGGAAATTTATTTTTAAATACATATCCTAATCAAAAGAAAAAAACAATATAAAATTTAAAATGAGTTGATTCAAAATTGAAATCAATTTGAAATTGTAAATGGATTTGGGGATTAACAGAGATATCGAGGGGAATTAGGCTTAACAGAGTTAACTAAAATGGATAAATGTGGAATATGTAGATACTTATAGAATATCTAGGGATTTCTGAGGATTTCGTGGATACTCATACGACTCTACAATTCCAATTTCTCCTCAAAGCCTACATTGAACTCGTAAACTTTGAATGTACTATTAAACACTTTCCTTGGACTAAACAAGATCAGAGCCAGAAAGAATTAATACAGGTATGTCTTCTTTATCTTCATTTTATATATTAATAATTTAGCCTTAATACAGAAAGAAATTAACTGCATAACTAATTGGATAATTTAAAAATTTTAAAAAATTTTAATACACTTTTAATGAGATATTACTAACATCTATACTAACAATACTGTTAAAAATGCGTCAATGAAAGTTACATATATAATAAAAAGTACATTTTTTTCTTTGCTTAAACAATTTTCTCTTGTCATACAATTTTATCTTAAACAATTTTTACTTGTCGTTAATTTAAGCGTAAAAAAACAGGCCGTGAAAAATATATTTTTTCATTTTTTCTAATTATACAGTAGCCGATAAACGTAAAGTTGGCTCTGGTCTATGTTTGTAGTTTATGCAAGTATACCTTAGAAAAGTTATCTGCTCCATTTGTTAAAATTTCAAATAAAACATTTATACACTGTGTCACAAAAGTATAAGCACCCCTGTAAAAATTTTATTTCTACTTATTGTAAAATTCTACAAAAAATACAGTAAACATCTCTGTCGATATTATAAAAAATAAAAAAAGAATTAGGCCCATATCTCATTACAGTGTCGAGATCTCGATACCCTGAAAATCAACGTAAAACAGGGTTTTTCAACTTCAAAAAAATTTTTCGACCCCTTATGGTTTGTTTTAAATTTTCAATTTGAGCTCATTCGAAAGCCCTTTAAATTTGCTACAAGATAGCATAAGTTTTATTTTCAGAAAAATTATTCTCAAGACAAACAGTAAATTATTTAGAAATCAGATGTCTTAATCCAAAGTTTAAAAGATAGTTATCATAATTGTAGTAAATTAACATATTGGCTTGCTAAAAATGAATTTGAAGAGGTATTTATGTTGTTTTTTCACATAAAATCATTTGTGGAGTAAGTATAAATTGATAAAGTTGAACATTTTCAAAGAGAAAGAACCCAAATAAGGACGGAGATTAAGAGACCAACACAGTTCCCAATCTACTTGAAGGATCATGAACTTTATTTGAACGTAGAGAATAAATAATAACGATTAACTACTTAAGATGCTGGTTCGCTCCAAACGCCGAATAATCTTTTGCACTAGCTAAAGGAGAGATATAGCCCAGCTACTTTAATGTATATTGTGTAATAGAGCCCTTTTTTATTTTATTCAACACAAATTATATTTATTTTTAAATATTCTACCCCCAAAGTAAAAAAGAAAAGATTTTTTGATTAATTATGAAAAGAAAGAAGAAAAATTTAAGAGACCCTGCCGTCTCGATTCCCGAAATCTGGAAATTATTGTTTGTATCGGCAGGATCCGAAGTACATACTACAATAAAGATATAAGGAAGAAAACCATGAAAATAAGAAGGAAAATTACATAATTATTAAAAAGGAAAGAAAAAGCATATTTAGAATCCACAAAGATTGTTAATATTTAGTCATTAATTTCCAAATTTTTCACAAGAGCCAAATTTCCCTTGCCCAAAATAATTACATTCTAGACCATCACAACATTTAAAAGTATTACCATCATTACCACAGGTTTCGAATTCCTTCAAACACGTTTCACATTTATTGGAAGAACAAAAAGATCCATAACAACAATACTTATCTTTAGTTATATCGCATTGATCACCTTGTTTAACACAATTGTAAGGTCTACAGAATGAACCGCCATCTGCTTTAGTTTTACAATTTAGAGCACTACAGCATTTATTTTTGTTATTGTCACAATTGAATTCATTTTTTTCAAGACAACAATTAATTGGTGTAAATAATATAAATAAATTTAGAAATAAAAATTGAACAAGAAAAATATTATTTAAAGAAGCCATTTATTATAATTAATTTTTTTTTTCTGAAATTTTTATTTTTAGTACACTATTTCCCGAGATTTTATATGTGGTGTCGTTCAAAATTACCTGGAAAACTGGATTGAACTGGGTGTGGGCAGAGTCGATCCGACAATTATGGACAAAGTTTCCTTAAAATTCTTTAATATCCCAGTAAATTCCCGAAATCAATATGTAGGGATTGACGTGGGTTAACCGATCTAAAGCTCAGTTAGTGGCTCAGTTGTCGCCCAAAAAGCTCAGTGGTAGAGTCCTTAAGTGGTGAGCGAAAGCGCCTAGCAATAACTGTCAGGAGGTCACAATCCTGCTGGATGGCTAAACTTTTGCTAAACTCTTTCTCACTTATGTAAATCAACTGGTATCCTCTCAAATCCCTCCAAATCCCCCAATCTCCAGGCTTTTGTGAAAGAGTTTTGGAGACATATCAAAGAATATCTCTCCAAATGAGAGAAATATCCCTCCAAAATTCCAGATATCCTCACTTTTAGACAGATTTTGGACTGTATCAGGGACGGTATTATTTTCAATATTTCGGATATTAATTAAAATAATTAAAATGATACATGTATTGCTAGCCTTTACCAGCATTTTATATAAAGCCCATATAAGGCGTGTAATGTTAAGAGTAATCTCAATCTACAAACTACTATTGGGCTTTAAATAAACATAATTAATTCGCAAATGGTTACCACTTTACCGCAAAAGTTGAATGAAGCCGAGAAAATTGGCTAAAACTACGGGGCAAAATTTGGCATTGCGGTAATTATGGAGGTATCATTTAAAAAATAAATGCAACCAAAAAAGATTAGAAATCCACGTTTAGAATTTTGTTAATGAATACATCCGTTTTTGCCTTAAATCCAAAATCTACCTGTATTAAATGAAACGCTATATAGAATTAAGTGACTTTTGATTTTGCCAAATTACAAACTAAAAAAGAGTTTTAATTAAAATTAATTTTTATAGAGAGAAAACAACTAAAGTTAGAGAATGGTTATCATTTTCCCGCGGAAGCTGAATGGCACCATGAAAATGGGCTTAAATGAGGGGGTAAAGATGGATTTGCGGTAAAATGGGGGTTATCCTGAATAAATAAATGGAGAAAAAAATTAAATAAAATTTTTAGTAAATGCGTACGTTTTTACCAAAAATCAGGAGGAAGGAAAATTCGAAAATAAATTTTACTAAAACAAACATTAAATATTATTCCATAATTTCGAAAAATAAATTTTCCAAAATTAACTCGATATATATTTTATTCAATAAAATTATATTTATTTAAATATACTACATACCAGGGATGGGACGGGTTACCCGAAACCCGATATACGGTCCTTTCCCGACCCAAACCCGATCCGAAGAAAGTTTTGAAAATCCGATCCGAATATATTGAAAATCCGAAAATCCGATCATAATATAAAACAAAAAAAGAATTGTACATATAAATTAAATATTATTGGAAATACAAAAAATTATTATAGATACATATAATTGAGTTTAACGATAAATTGAGTTTAAAGATGTTCAAAAACAAACTGTTGTGCTTTAGCTAGTTAAAAATAGTGAAAATTAAATTTTCTAAATTAAAAAAAATTTAATCGTGAGATTTTTAAATAATATTTTTTTATCTTCATTTTGAAATAAATTAACAAATCTTTATTTTAATTCTATCAGATCCATTCTCCATTTTTCGTGATTACATAACAGTTGATCCATAGTATTCCCCTTCATCACTGCAAAAATAAAGTAGTATTAATAGGACATACCGTATTTACTGTATTATAGCCCCCCTCCGAATTAGAGCCCCCCTCCTTAATAAAGCCCCCCTTTCGAGGATGGTTGAAAAATAGAGCCCCCCGTCTGTATTAGAGCCCCCCTTTTTGACAGATGTCAAATAGATAATTTACAACCTATTCTGTTGTAAATTGATTTGTTTTTAATAGGGTTGAGCGCCCAGGGCTTTAATTACGCTAAATTTGCGCCCAGGGCTTTAATTACGCTAAATTTGCTTACACGTACTATATTCATTATGCACAACAACAAATAACACAATCACCCCCACAATCAACATTTCCACAATCTAATCCACTACAGTCACAACCAGAGCAGTCACATCCAGAATTTGGATTAGAAGCTAATGAGCAGCAACAAAAGATATGCCCTAAGCATTCCATACAATCTGTTGGGAGACAATGATTACAACAATCAGCTAAAATATAAATTTTTAATAAATTTTTTGTAATAATTTAAATAAGAATTTCACGCAGGGTTGTCTTTACCAAACCACTAACATGGGGCCAAGCCACTCAAAAATAGGGGAAAAATAGGGCGAAATTGGTCAAAAATAGGGCAGCAAAATATAGCAAATTTATAAAATAGAGGAAAAATAGGGCGAAAAGATCAAAAATAGGGAAAATCCTCTATAAATAGGGTAAAAAGACAACCCTGATTCCATCCCTAACCCAAATCATAAAATAATATTATTTCTTAAAAATATTTTTTAATCCAAAAAATTCTAACCACAGTCAGAACATCTACTACAATCTGGCCAAAAACAACAATCTACAGGAATATAATTATAACCAGGAGTCCATCTTATCTCGTTTTGTTTATCGTCTAATTGTTTGGCATATCCGGTTAATTGAGGTTGTTCTGTTATACATTGCTGTGACATTTAAATATTTTTTGTTGAAGGTAATTTTTTTAAATGAGTGAATTGAAGGAATAAAAATTATTTTTAAATTTTCTTTAAAAAGTTAAAATTTTTATCAATATAAAATAAAAAAGGAAATAGAGTTAGCTAGTCATTTCACATAATAATTTGCTAAGTAAATATGTATGACTCATAAAAAAATTATTTTTAAGAAATTTGGCAAATAAAACAATTTATTTTTTTTTTGAAATAATCGAAATTAATATTTTTTTATTTTACTTTAAGACTAATTCTCCTTTTAAAATTTGTTTTATAAATTGTATTGAATTTTGTTAGATTTTGTTATTCTCAAATCTTCAGATCAATTTTCAATTTTATGTTTATAGGGCTTCAGGCCTCCAACCTTAGAGGTCAACAATCTGGCTCCAAATAGGTATTTGTCTGGATAAAGTTAACTCTTGAATAAGAATACGGTTGTCTTCCCTTCTGCTTTATCCGACAGTTGCAGGAGCTAATTTCCGTTTTATGTCCCTTAATCCCAAAAATCCAATTAATCCTCATAAATCGATAAAATCTTTAATATCCACAAATCTTTAATTGTGGATATTATATAACTACCAAATACTACCAAATATTATTCTCCTATATTCATGTCAGTCTCGCTTGAAGGTCCAAGTGAAAATAAACAAATTAAATTTTCTTGAATGTGTTTTACCAACTCAAGATAAACGATAGAACTAAAGTAAAATTTTTTGTCTTACATAAATTTTTTAAAATAATTTGAAATATGTACATTCTAAAATTAAAAGAAAATAAAACTAGAAGACAGTAAAGACTTTATTGTTTGTTAACAATAAATATGAATAGAGCCAGGATTTTTAGGCAAATGCCTGTTTTTTCCCAAATAGGATAAACTTTTCGAAATTAAAAAACCCTCAAAAAACGTTATATATTAACTAAAACATGTTAAAATATTTATAAATTTTTAATCAAAAAAATTCATAAAACTAAACAAATTTTAATATTTAATTGTCTGATTTAATTTTATTGACTTCTCATATTCTATAATTTCATAATTCGGATTCTAAACCAAAAAATGGATCCCTCTTCACCCATTCCATTGCAAAAGAAAAATTTTACTGTTGGATTGTGTTTATTGGCAATTATGTATTTTGTATATTTTACACTATAGGATTGTTCAACTTGAACATTCTGAGCTTTTTCGTCCAATTTAAAATTTGATAAGGAAATATAATTTAAGACAATAACAGACACCATTTTTGAACAGTCCTTGGATGTTTTTATATGCTAAAATTTAAATAAATTTTTTGAGAAATTTTTTAAAATTAATAACTTACCTCAACAATAAAATCATAAATACGTGACATCTCAAAACATTTGTTACTTTTTAAACAAAATTGAGGTAATTTATTTCCTTCTTTTGTTAAAATATTGAATAGAATATTCATCTGATGCTCCGAAATGTTACCTTCGTTAAAATCAAAACTAAGGGATTCAGAAATTGATAGATGATTTAAAGTGAAGTTAAAAATATTTTCAAATATATTATTGTTAAGGCAAATATAGGGTCTTTGTACGTGAAATTTTAGTGGCATTAATTTGTCGTTATCAAAAAATAAAATAATTAATTCTGGATTAAATAAACATTCATTTAAATTGAAACGTTCAAAAGCACAATTAAAAAGTTGCCCTAGCCAACATCGTATAATAATCATTTCTTTTATGTTTTTGGGAAATTGCGGCAATTTTAACATAAAATAACTGAGTTCCCTATTCCTTGTTCTCTCCAAAATAATAACAAATATATTTCCATATCTAATATTATGCAAAAATAACGGGATTGATTTAGCTATCGAGGTCTGCCACTAAATAAAGTTAAATGTAATTTGTTTAAATAAAATTAATTAAACTTTCCCTTCAAGTCGATAATTCAAAGTAAAATCAAAAATTCCGGATTCAACATCAATAATTTTATTTTCTAAACGCTTTAGATCAGTAGGGTGAGTGGCAGTCTGTAAATAATTTAAATTAAAATTAAAAATAACAGCACTCCTGCCGTTTAATGGGACCGCCGTTCACTGACCAGTATGAGACTATAATTTTGGCACCAAATTTTGGGACAAGTTATACTACATGTGAATAGTTTTGTTTTATAGAACGGTGGCTCCCTTAAACGGCAGGAGTGCCAAAATAACTATTTACTATTTTAAGTCCATTAAATTTCATTCTCGCCAATCCACTCTCATACTTACTAATTAAATTGTTAAAATAAAAATTGGTTTGTTTAACAGAGAATAATTGATCAAAGTTGAGGCATTTTAAGATATCAAGTTGAACTTCGGGTGGTAGAGAATACATCATAATTGTCTAATTATCTAAAAAATAAAATCAGAAAGAGACAGCAAGGCTACAAATTAGAGACCGGACTTTCTCGAAATCTTTCTTGATCAAAAAATCTTAGTCAAATAAATCCTTAATATTTTCCCGAAATTCATCTCACTCACTAAATCCACCCGACTTCCCTCTTAATCCCCCCGCCGATCCAGAATAAATCCGGATCACTGATTATTATCACTAATTATTAATTAAGATTATCAAGGTGGGGTCACTTTAGTACGTGGGTGCAGGCTTTAAATTACAAATGTTATATCATTTGAAAGAGCTAGTCGAGCTGAGTCGAATGCCACCAAAATTAGGTCTAGGAAAAATTTTTGAACCGAGATACAGGCGATTGAAAATCGAAAAACCATATGGGGGACCAAGCACTTTTTTGGGGTGAAAAATTCGAAAATGCAAATTATACCTCATTCGAAAGAGCTCGTCGAGCTGAGTCGAATGACACCAAAATCCACGAAATCCGACTTGATTGGACTGAGATATAGACCCCTAAAAATCGAAGATCCAAAGGGGCGATTTTTGGAATAAAAACTTTTTTATACAAATAATACCTCATTCGAAAGAGCTCGACGAGCTGAGTCAAATGACACCAGAATCACCGTGATTGAACAAGATTAGACAAAGTTATGATACAAAAAAACAAAAAACCTAAACCTATGGGTCGTCGGCGAGGCGCTTGTGCAAAACCCCGCGCTTCGCGCGGGGTTTTGCGGCACGCGCCTCGCGGGGAGTCTACGGGCGCTGGGTCTGGGCTCGTAACATAAACCTATTCCTATCTCCCTTGCTCTGGACGTATTTGGGGCCTCCGTAGCAGCAAAAATCTCCACAGATGCCATAGGTAAGGAGCTAAAATAAAAGACCATAACTTTGTCCAATCAAGTCGGATTTCGTTGATTTTGGTGTCATTCGACTCAGCTCGACGAGCTCTTTCGAATGAGGTATAATTTGCATTTTCGAATTTTTCACCCCAAAAAAGTGCTTGGTCCCCCCTATGGTTTTTCGATTTTCAATCGCCTGTATCTCAGTTCAAAAATTTTTCCTAGACCTAATTTTGGTGGCATTCGACTCAGCTCGACTAGCTCTTTCAAATGATATAACATTTGTAATTTAAAGCCTGCACCCACGTACTAAAGTACAGCCATCAAGGTTTCTTTGTTAATTTTTTCGGTACTTGTGAGTTATCCCAAACCAGTTTTTGCGGACATATTTTGCGGACTCTTTTGTATACACAGAATGGTCAGTCTTCCTCTTTCCTCAATTTTACTATGGCATTATTCAATGAGAGGCAATAAAGAAAGGATTATTTTTAAATATAAATGACCGATTTTTAAATCATGTTTGCCTCTCATTGAATAATGCCATAGTGAAATAGAGTGAAATTGAGGAAAGAGGAAGACTGACCATTTTGTGTATACAAAAGAGTCAGCAAAATACGTCCAAAAAACGGACAAATCAGTCTTACCAAATCATGGAACGACCAAAATACGGACCATTCTGTGTATACAAAAAAGTCCGCAAAACATGTCCGCAAAAACTGGTTTGGGATAACTCACAAGTACCATTTTTTCATAATTTTTATAAAAATAAAAACAAAAATTTAAAATACACTAAAATTTTTATTTGACTAATAAAATAGCAAACTAAAGATTAAGTATAAATTAATTTGAATTTATTTACAAAATAATTCCTTGGTGACTCACTATCGAAAATCTTCATACTTAAATAAAAAATTTTCAAATTAATTTCCCATATGTAAAAAGTATTATTTTAGGCAAGTTATTTAATACAAAAAATATACACAAACTTATTTGAATTTAGAAAAAAGAAGGGGAATTCTGCCGTTCACTCATCCCTTCTCATCATTTTTACCAAAATTTTTGAAAGTTTCATTTAAAAAAATCAAATGTTGATAAACATTATTTTTAATTTTTTTTCAAAAATTTGTTGAAATTATTTTTCAAAAATTTTTTCGATTTTTTGTAATTTGGTCGGTCGATTGTTAAGCTGAAGGAAAATAAGGAAAAGCAGCTTAGTTGATGTTCATTCCAACTTAGTTCTTCATTAATCAATGGCCTAGTTTCGGTAGGCTATATCAACATCTTCTCTCTTGATTAGGGTTGGCCCCTTAACATTTAACTATAAATACTTATGATTTTTTAAAATTATTTTATTCAAAGAACGAATTAAGTATTTAATTTTAGGAGATTGAAACATCACAAGACACTTCTAAAATGGTCAATGAAATTAGATTTGGTGATATTCTCGAACCTCTTGATTTAAGTGAAAGAGCAGAAAATATTGAAATTAATGTTGAAAACAACAATTTAAAATCTACAAAATATCAGCTTTCCAATAAATACAATTCAGAAATTAAATTTTCTATATGTAACCCATCGATATTTCCCTAAATCCCTTTATATACCCGTTAATCCCCCAAATATCTTCTTAATCACTAGGGGTGCCAATTATATGGATATAAAATCGAAAAATATGGCCATAAAATATGGATATAAAATCCTGAAATATGGATATAAATATGGAAATAAACACTAAATATGGATATAAAATTCAGAAATATGGATCAAAAAATACTGAAAAAATATTTTAAAAATCAGTATTTTATGTAAAAAACAATAAGTTTGCCTTTAAATTTGCATTTTAAGAGCATTCCAAAAAATTTTAAGGATTTAAAATTTCTGTTAAAAATTTTTTTGAAAATAAATTTTTCCAAAAAAATTTCGGAAAAATTTTTTGACCAAAAATTTCCAAAATTTTGAAAATTTTCATCAATTTTTACTAAAATTTAACAAAAAATGCTTAAATATGGGCCAAAATTTCCAAAAATGGAGAAATATTGATATAAAATATGGATATAAAGGCTAAATATGGATAAAATATGGAAAATATGGACATAATGCTAAAATATGGAAAAATATGGATTTTAAAGACCATTCTAGAAACCCTAAAACAAGCCAAAAACATGTTTTTTGTGCATTTCACAGTCATAGGAATTCAGGAAAAAAATATGGATTTCCATATAATTGGCACCCCTATTGATCACTTCTAATGCCTCCATTGAGACTAAAATGCCTGGAAATTATACTTTCTCGGCCATCTATATTTGTTTAACACAATAAATGAAAATATATGATCATTCCACTAAGAAGAAATGTATTTTGGGAATGAACATTAGAACATAGTAAGTTTAGCCTAACAATCTATCCAGTTAATCACCATGCAATTGATGAAAAGAAAGATTTAACCCTTCTTAACTTTCTTTTTCTCATTTTTTCCAATTTTGTTTCACTTATAGGTAATAGTGTCGTTTCCCAGCCCCCTTTTTTTCCTCCCAATTTTCTACCCTATGTTTGTACGGAATGGTCAAATTTTCCCCTTTCTTTCATCAAATTTACCTTTCCATATTTTGCCTAAAAACAATCAAAAAAGATAAATTTTTTATTCATTTCTTTCACAAGGATAAAAAAGTGAGACATGATGCCAAAAATTATAAAAAACATTTTCAATATTGCCAAATCGTTTTCGCCACATAAATTCCGGGAGATAACTTTTATAGGTTTCAGTGTTGTTGTCAGCTTGATGTCTGAATTTTCGTTTATAAGTCACTCAAACGTAAACGTAATTTTCTCACTTAAACGTAATTTTTCATATAAATCAATAGGTTTGAAATTCTTTAGTTCTTCCATTTTTATTAATTGGGAAAATCTAATACTTATTTAAATATCACAAATTAATCTTTTTTGATTGTTTTTAGGCAAAATATGGAAAGGCAAATTTGATGAAAGAAAGGGGAAAATTTGACCATTCCGTACAAACATAGGGTAGAAAATTGGGAGGAAAAAAAGGGGGCTGGGAAACGACACTATTACCCACTTATATTCTCGCATGAAACAAAATCCCGATTTGCATCGGGATCCAATGCTAATCCCGATCCTGGCTCTGGAAATTTAAAACTTTCGGTCTCGGATCAGAAAAATCGGAATTCAAAAAACAAGGCATAACGATCTCGACTGGGATCCCGATACCGGCCAACTCTAATCTTTAGCTGTTCTTTCGCAAATATCATTTTATTGCCAACAATTTTAGATATATTTTCGATTAAATATTTGATTTAATAAAAAATATGTATTTAGATTAAATTAACAATTCTTCCCATTTTTATCATTTCTTCGATTTAATTTCCGTTATGAGGATGGCAGCATGAAGAACATTTTCTAGCAATACAGTCGTACATATATGGATCATTTTGGCAATCCTCAAAAATCCTAGGATCATGTATATTTGTACAATCCGCCCCGATTAGATGTTTAACCTTTTAATTTTTTATAGAAAATTTATTTAATTATAAATTTACCTCCGCATTGGCAAGAGTCAAAAATGCCAAAAGAAAAAATACAAAAATAACCTTTGTCATTTTTAAAAATTTATTTTTAATATTTAATTATCTAAATTTTTATTTATCTAAATTATTTAAATAAAAAATAAATAACGTTTAAAATAAATGTAAAATTAAATTTAAAAATTTACTGAAATAAAATATTAATTTTAAATTTTAAGTTTTATTCTTTTAGATACCGTATTTACTCGATTAATTCCCCTCTCTCAAATAATTCCCCTCTCTCGAATAATTCCCCTACTCCGGATGAGTTGAAACAATAATCCCCCTCCCTCAAATACCCTACTAGTTCAAATTTCAAAACTCGAATAATTCCCCCTTGAATAAATAATAATCCCTTGAATAATAATAATATAATAATTCCCCTCCCCTGGGGAATTATTATATTAATTATTATAGGAATTATTATATAATTCCCCTCCCTTGAACACTCGAATAATTCCCCTCCAAAAAACACGTTCAAATTCTAAAACTCGAATAATTCCCCTCCATTGAATGCCACGGATGGGTTGAAGAATGCTACGGACGGGTTGAAAAATGCCACGGACGGGTTGAAAAATGCCACGGACGGGTCGAAAAATGCCACGGACGGGTCGAAAAAATAATTCCCCAGGGGAATTAATCGAGTAAATACGGTAAGTGTTTAGAAAAGAATTTGCGTCATTTAATTTTACCAAAAGATTCTCTTAATTTTTTAAATAAAATTTAAAATATCCAAAATTTTTTATTTATTTTTTCTTCCAAGAATAAATTTAAGTTCAAAAAAATGTGGCAAAAATTTAATTTAAAAAATTAAATATTCATGTAATTTTATTTTAAAATAAATTTTTGGGGTAATAGAGTTACTAATAAATTTAAAAAACAAAATTGAGGTTTTGTACATTAAGTGAAAGCTGATTTCCTTCTCTCATTCAAGTCGAATAAAATTTTAGAATTTTCTATTAAACAATCTAGGTCAAAAAGGCTGTCGGGACCGGGTCGGAATTTTGTGGTTAGAAAAATAAATAAACTAGGAAAAAGACGGGTGAAGCACATTTAGCTAAATTGTAGTTCTGCAATGCTCAGAAACGGGGTTTTTAAAGGACTAACGTTATGTGTTGGATTTTTGAAAAATCTTGTTTAAAGGGTTGGCTTTTTTTTATTATATTATTTTGTTTAAAATTTTTTATGATGGCAATAAAAAGATGGGTTTTCAGAACAAAACACACCTACTTATATCTAAATACTAAGAAAAAGAGAGGTGAAGCGCCGTCTGATCACCTTATTTTTGAGTTATTCAAACAAAAGTTGTAGTATGGCCTTTCTTGTTTTTATGTAATAAATGAATATGTAAAAAGCCATTGAATACAAAAATTATGTGCAAAAATAAAATAAAAATTTTTAAGTAAAAATTTATTAAGTTGGTCTGACAGGGACTAAATGATTTTTCAGCAAGGTATTTAATAATAAATTGAAAACTTTAAACGGTGTACGGAATTTTGGACACTGGAATTTTGGTCACCAAACGTAAAAAAGATTCTTATCAAGAACTGATATCAAAGTTGTTATGTCCCCGGTTACGTAGAGGAAGCTAACAGAAACGTTTATTGCACAAAGAAATACAAAGCAGGCGAAGGTTGGGGTAGGGAGAAGAACTAAAACTGAGACCACGAACTAAATATTGGCTGGGCTTTTATACTAACACTTTAAGGTCTAACGCCCATACACAACACCTCCCCCCTTAAAAAAAAGGTTCGGCTTCACTAAAAGCCGAAGCTTTACAATATACTTACACTTTCCAGCCAAACAACAAACAAAAAATACATACAATAATTTTGGGGGATAAGGACAATGGGAACAAAAAATACATACGACATTACAAAAACATAAAAAAAAATACAACAATAATATTATCACAAAATTTTATATATGTGGCTCATCTACATCTCCATATTATTATCGTCTTCAACATCTTTCATCTTTGTCTTGTTCCCACTTGTCTCACTAATTTCACTGGATAATTTATAGCCTCTTCAGCATACTTTTTTACACTTTCCTTAGTGAGCACTAATTTTTGAGGCTGTCTAATATTTTCTCTCAAACCATATTTATGTGGTTTATCAACTTTTCTCAATCCACTATCACTTACACTTTCACTTTTCCACAAATTATTACAATCTTCACTTAAGCTTCTATTTCTAATTTGATTTTCGTGCCGAGTTACTACGGCATTTAACACTGGCGAGTATATCTTATAGATAACTCCCCTTTTACTTTCCACTTCACCATTCAACCAATTAATTTTACCATCTTTTCGGTAATTTAAGAAATACACTAACTTACCGATTTTTCGGTTTTTTACTCCATGGTGTTTATCAAACCAACTTTTCATTTTCACTTGTTGAGGTGTTATCACTTTATTTTCTTGGAAGGTCACTTTTTTTGGTATTAACCTCGCTAAATTCAATCGCAATTTTCTTCCAAGAAACACTTCACTAGGGGATTTCCCTTCCAATGATTCATGAGGACTGGCTCTATAAAACAATAACACTTCACTGAGCCAATTCTTCTTATTACAATTTTTTGTCATCATTCTTTTAAAATAATCCACAAATCGTTCCACTTGCCCATTGGATTGTGGATGATACGGGGCACTAAACACTTGACTAATTCCCTTATTTTGACAATATACTTTAAACTCATTTGAACGGAATGGGCTTCCGTTATCAGACACTATTGTTTCTGGGTACCCGTAATGGGTTCCCAACCACTCAAAACACTTTATAACATCTTTTGCTGAGGTCGTCATGTTTTCGAACACTTCAGGCCACTTTGAATAGGCATCAATTACAATAAAATACACTTTTCCGTCTTTACACGGCCCAGCAAAATCAATATGCACTCTTTCCCAATTTCTATTTGTATTTGGCCATGGTCGTAACTCACTTTTAATTGGTCTTTTTGCCGCTGCTTGGCACATTATACAATTTGCGACCCAATCTTCAATATCTCTACTAATATTTGGCCAATACATATACTCCCGGGCAACTCCTTTCATTTTTGCACTACCCGGATGTGTTTCATGTAACACTTTCAATATACTTTTCCTCAAAGTTTTTGGGATCACTATTTTTCCACTACACATAATACACTCATCAATCACTTCCAATTCTTGACTTCGATTTGACCAAATACTTAATGCTGGATCACTCACTACTTTTGGCCACCCATTTTTAATAAATTGTTTAATCGTTCTTAATTCACTATCATTTTCTGTCTCACTTTTCACTTGTTCGGCATTCACTGGCACTTCATCCAGCATTATGTTTAATACATATTTAACTGACTCTTCCACTAACAATGAGTCCTCCTCACCACAATCCTCATCACTACAATTTTCACTTTTTGCCACTAATGCAATCACTTTATCTTCTACTTCACTTTTTTCACTTATCAATCTTGACAATGTATCAGCCATACCCATCTGGTTTGTACTTACAAATTCGATTTTAAAATCGTAATTTGTCAATAATAAAGCCCATCTTTGTAATCTTGATGCAGAGAACACTTTGATTCCTTTATTCTTGCCAAAGATGGCCAATAACGGTTTATGATCCGTTCTCAATACGAACTTTCGGCCGAATAGCATTTTATGAAACTTCTGCACTGCAAACACTAATGCTAGCCCCTCTTTTTCAATTTGACTATAATTTTTCTCTGCATCATTCAATGACTTACTCGCGTATTCAATCACTTTTTCTTTTCCATCAGGAAATTTATGTGATATCACTGCACCCACTCCATAATTCGATGCATCAGCTGTCACTACTATTTCTAAATCTGGATCGAAATGCGTTAGCATTAAATCAGAATTTAGCACTTTTTTAACACTTTGAAAGGCATGTTCTTGATCATGCCCCCACTCCCACTTCACTTCTTTTTTAAGCAATTTATCTAATGGCCCTCTATATTTATGCATTTCACTAACAACCGCCCATAATAATTAATTGTACCCATAAAAGACTTCAATTCTTTAACGTCTCTTGGACGCGTCAATTCACTAATTTTCTTTTTCTTTTCTGGGTCTGGCTCAATTCCACTTTTAGATACAATATGGCCTAAAAACTTCAATTTTTCTTTAAAGAAATTACACTTTTCTAACTGGATTTTTAATCCCCACTTTTCAATTCGATCAAATATTTCAAACAATTGCACTTTATGATCTTCAATATTTTTAGACACTATTATTAAATCATCTAAATAGGCAAACACTCCAGGAATTCCACTTATCAATTTATCCATCAATCTCTGAAATATTCCTGGTGCTGATTTCACTCCAAACGGCAATCTTTGCACTTCAAACAATCCTTTGTGTGTATTAATACACGCCACTTTTTTAGATTGCTCGTCTAACTCAATTTGTAAATAGGCATCTCTGAGATCCAATTGCGAAAACACTTTACTTCCATGGATCTCAGCCCATATTTCACTAGGCTTTGGCAAGGGGTGCCTATCCAATTCAATTGCATTATTCAACCCCGTTGAATAATCCATACACACTCTTGTTTTGCCGTTTGCCTTTTTAATTGCTAAAATAGGCGCTGCCCAATTAGCAAATTCAATTGGCTTAATAGCTCCAATTTCACTCAATCTGTTTAACTCTTTTTCAATTGCGTCTTTAACGCCAATCGGTACTGGTCTAGCCCGTACAAATACTGGACTCACTCCTGGCTTCATATACAAATGAGCCTTCATTTTTGTACAATGGCCTAAGCCTGGCTCAAATACTTTCTTAAACTGCACTGACAATTTGTTTACTATTTCACTAATTTTACTTTGTGCCTTTTCAATTTCTAACACTTTAATCGGCTCTTCACTCTTTTTAATACTAGACACTATTTGATATCCCAATTTATTCTCAACTTCAATTATCCATGGTAGGCCAAACAAATTCAATTTTTCACTTGTGACATGTGTCACCAATACTTGTTTACTATCGTCTACTTCGACACTCGCCAAAAAACTGCCCAACATACTAAACTCGTTTCCTGTGAAACTTCTACCCTTGCAGGGCACTCCAGTGAG